TGGCTGGGCTTCCCTTCAGCACTATTGCCAAGCAGCACAGCTGGGACATGGCCTTCTGGGTAGCGGAGGTCCTAATGGGCATCACCACCATCGCATTCTTCTTTGTGCGTAACATGCGCACCAAAATGGGACGGATCGCAGAGAAACTGGACTAATACCCACTGTTGGGGGGAGAATACGGCACAATGATTGAACTGGAATTTTAACAAACAAACTACTGTCAAACAAATGAATCTGAGGACACTTTTAGATCATAAATAACTTTATAGATACTTAATAATTGTTATGAGATATACACTTTTTTATTGATTTAATCATCACCAGCACAAAAATGCAGCAGATCACAGTTCTTTGAAAACATATAATTAAAGCGCACGCTCTGTTCTTAACACATTTCTATAATGTGGTGCAGCTCAGTGCATTAATGTGTCTCTACTAGTGTTTTACCAATACCAGTGTCAGGTGGTATCGGTATCGGTGAGTACCAACAAATAGGGAACGATACCATTTTGAGAACCTAAAGTTTATTCAACTATTGTCACCCATTCCAGGTAGGCAATAAAAAGTTCTACTGGAGTCACTTTGTATTACCGTAGTCTTTTTCCTGCTTCACAAAGGTAGGCAGCAGCTTGACAAAGCCATGATGGCAATTATTTTACATCTTAATAGTATGCAGTTCTTCATATATATATACACACACACATTAACTTCAAACAGATGGTATCATTATCAGCTGATGCTGCGCAACCAGGTATCACACTAATATTTTCCATTCTAAACAACACTAGCATTAGTCTCTCTAAAATGTAATTATATCTCAAGACAATATATTTGGTGCAGCTCAGTGCATCAATGTGTTTTCAACTAATGAATGTTTCCAGACAATTTTTCCAGGGTTTCAGTCAGATGTTTAAATTCTCCAATTATGAAAATGGATGTTTTATATTTGGAGATTTCTACACAGTCTAAAAATTTTAAGAATTTGTTTTTAAGGTTTTTTTTTTAGGTCTGGACGAGTACGGGAAAAGAATAGAGAAGAACAATTTTTATTTACAGACTTTATTATTTTTCTTTCTTCTTTCTTTATTTCTCATTGTTCTTTTTTCTACTTCTAAACTATGACCTTCATTTCTCTTCTCCTGTCCTTCCTTCTTTCCTTCCTCATGTCTTTCCTTTCTTGCATCCTTCCTTCCTTTCATTGCCATACATCTTCAGTGTCTTCCTTTGTCCTTCCTCATTTCCATTCTTGTGTCTTTCTGTTCTTTCCATGTTTGTGCCCTTTCTTACATCCATCTTTTTCTTGTATCCTTCCACCATAAACCCCCCACCCCCCAGTCTGTTGCCTATGCTCTTACTTCTATCATCACATTATTTCCTCATGACCTTGCTTCCTCCTACTTCCTTGTTCCTATTTGGATCCTTCCTTTCCTTCCTTGTGTCCTACATCATTCCCATGCTGTCTCCTTCCATTTGTCATAGTTTCTATATATAAAGCCTGTCACAATATATATGAAGCTGCACAAATCTATGTCATAAATCACAAAGCAGTTCATTTATATATCTTTCGAATGGAAGGAAAGAAAATTGTGGAAAAATCTAACATGATAAATGCATAGAAAGCCTTTATTTCCACAAATTTCACAGTGAAGTTAGGTGGCATGGCATGATTGTTACCTTGGCATGTTATTCAATTATTTTCAGGTCTAGATCATTCATACAGTTTTTCTACCAAAAGCTAAGAGGTTCAGACCAGTCAGCTGCATGTTACTGGTTCCAGTGGGGGCAACACAGGCTGCTTCTCACTGACTGGACGTCCTCAGAACTGATAAATGTACTTTAATATCCTGCAGTCAAATATGTCTTCTCAGTATTTTGCCAGGACCTGTTCCCATATGGAGACTGGACCTCATATACACTCAATAAGGTAAACAGAAGTTATCCTCTTTAAATCACCAGGTAGTTATTCTTAGTAGTCTAGCTGGGGGAAAAAAAGGGGAGGGGGGGTGCATACATATCCTAATGAATATATTCTATTAACCTAAAGCAATATGCATGGTGTGGTTGTACATGTTAGGTTTTCCGGTCATTGACCTTGACCAAGGCACCTTACAGTAGAACTGCAGTCAGTCCCTGGACTGGCATGGCTATCACTGGTCCTACAGAGTTAGGGACTCATTTCCCACTGGGATCAGCTTCATAGTCATGGTAGGACACTTCTTTGATTTTATTTATTTGGCTCAGGCTACTCCTGAGCCCACAGCCTGCTAAATATTGAAAGGGCAATATTATTGCCATTACTGTTTTTTTTTTTTTTTTGTTTTGTTTGTTTTTTGCCATCCCCCTTCATCTCAAGTCCTGGTTATTCTCACTTTTGAAGCCTCAGAGGCTGTTACAGCATTACGAAAATATAGTTGTTTGAATCTGTTTATGTAAGATTTTTCCATTGGTTTGTGTTTTTAATAGTTTCTGTAACTAATCTTATACATACAGTTAAATTTAACTTGAGTTTCAACTGAAAAACTCCCATTTTAAATCATTTACAGCAACTTCTTTAAGAGAATCTGGTTTTCTTTTATGTCAAAGGTGGTAGATAACCTAGTATTTCCTTTCCTGCTTCTAAGATTCCCTTCAAGGATTCCCCTGTTTTAACTCATTTACCCCCCCATCCACTCTCCAGCTCTCCTTTCCCTACTGAGGAACATCAATGCTGCTATCGCCATGTTTTACCATTGGATCATTGTGTTCATATTGGGTGTCCATTTTCTGAGTAACTTAACTATTTGTTGAGGAGTTATTTCTCCATTTTAAGTTGAATCTTAGAATTTAGATTATTTGTTTTGATTTGTTATTTAGAATGTTTTGGTTAGTAATTCACTTAATTAATTTTAGCTTGGGATGCGGGTGTTTCACAGTATAAATAGGTAGGTCTTAGGTAGCTTATTATGCACGTGGGTAGTCATATGTTTGTTTGTTTTTTTTTACCAGTTTTTAGTCACAGTTTCAATCAATCAGTCAGTCAATCAAAGAACGGGTGCAGGAATAAGAGTGAGAGCAATAGAAGAATCCAGTGAAGCCTGTAACCTGTTTTGTCTGAAAGGAGAATAAACAAGCAAAGAACTGGATTTTTGACCTTTTTTTTTTTCTTTTTTTTTATCTTTTTGGACTGCGTAAACCAGAATCCATGTTGCAATAGTTGACTATTTTAGGATTCACCTCAAAGTTTTTTGAATTTTAGTTTTGTACAAATAGTCACTACAATTTGCATTTACCAAAAAGTTGTATTTCGGTTTCACTTGCTTCACTGCAAAATGGACTCTCTGAGACGTTCTTTCAATAATTATTTTCTTCCAGCTAGTTTCCAAAAAAGTCCACATTTTCAGGGTTAATGTTTTCTGGCCACAACAAAATGTTTATTTTTAGTAGGAAAAACATAATTTTTGCCCATCATACTCCAGTCAATCCTCTGATCAGAGTGATATTACTGAAAACAGGCTGGGTTACTTTTCCCCTTTGGTCAGAGCATACTGTGTTAGATTAGACCAGGGTTAATCTGTTGGAATGAAAACCCATGTTTTCACTCTTATTAATTTTGCTGGTAGCATACTTACCTAAAAACTCAAACCCATTCGTTTGGTGCCCATATGATAATCTCATTTAATGTTTAACCTCGTTGCCATTAGTGACCCAGTTAGTGTTTAGCTTTACCCCTGTCAGAATGTCTGTACAGGGGTGCATTAATACACAAAAAACAATGGTTTTTGAATCCGTGATGATTTCTTAAACACAATTGCATGATGAAATTGTGTATTTATTAAAAATTAGGTATTTTTAAAAATCGAAATGAACCAGTGTAATAATCCGAGACAAACTTATCTTTGGAGAAAAAAAAAGACAAGTCTGATACTGTTTATGTGATATAATAAAGTCTGTTTTTTGCTGATTAGATTCATCAAATCAACTTAATTTGATAGTTGTTGTTCTGTTTACATTGCTGTTGCAGTTAGAACCATAAAATACAACCCACAAACTTTTAATGTAAATAAACTGCATACTATTATATTTAGTAACACAAAATGATGAGGCATATCAATAAGAAACTTTAAACAGCAATGCAAGAGCTGCAATTAGTCTGTAGGTCTGTGATTAATCTGATAGTCGGACTGTCTATTGCAGCAATAATCACTGCTAGAAATAGAGGACCCCAAAATCTAATTTCACCCCGTGAAGGCTTTGGTAGAAGAGCAACTGTAGAGGGGAATGGATGTTATATTAATTAAAACCTTGATATATTCAACCAAGTGATATTCAAGTGAATGTTGAAATATAATAATCATTATTTCTTTGTTAACTTCATGTATAATTTAGGAATATAACAGAAGAACAGTACAAACTGGCTGAAAGCTGCAGGCTACTGTGGAGCTATCCATGGTGCTGATATTGGCCTCATATTTTCATTGCATTTTATCTTTAAGACACCCTTTTCTAAATAATATAATGGAATCTTTTAAAAGTAAAATACCAAAACAATACAAAAAATGTTATCAAAACATGTTGTTTAAGCAACATGCAATGAACAGAAAACTTTCCGTTCCTATTCTTGGCTAATATTCAACTCTTTCATAGCTATTCCATTTAAAATGCATCGTTTTGTTTTCCTCAGTAACTAACTTTATTCAGTCTCTTTCAAAGGGCTGCAATTATCGACTCGTTAGAAAGCAACAACATAACAGCTACCAACTGAGTTTTATTGGTTTAACAATCATTACACAAGCACAACTCTAGACAAATAAAAAAAACTGCACATGTGGACTCGATACAGACACCTAAAACCCACAGAAATATGGCTACTGTTGGTTTGAAAGGACAGTTTGTCTGTTGGCTGTAAGGCAGCCGACCTCAGGAGATTTTTAATGTAAATACTAGTTCAGCATGGCTAAAGAACAAGATCATTTTATAACCATCCTTACAAGGTACCGTTACATACTGCAGATTGAAAACTCTTTCAGCACAGCAGCTTTACAAATTTATTGCGATGCTATCACACGACAGACACAACCAACACATGCACAGTTTCAAATGGGGGTGCCGCAGAACTAGGAATTTTAGGATTTATTGAGTACGATGGTTAAGAAAACTGCATGAATGACCAAATAGGAAAAGAAAAAACTTACAAACATTCTAAAACACTGTTCTTCAATATAAACAAGAAAACAATGAGTTGTACGATGACATCCACCCCCCCACGCACTACAGACTGTCCCTTATAAAGCTTATGGAATGTACTCCACGCAGGTAAGCTCTTCCAGTTGTTGCCCCCGCCCGTCAAGCTTCCGTGTTTGACGTGTCTGCCCACCCGTACCCCCCCTCCTTCACATTTAGACCTGAAATAAAACCCACCGACAGTAACGATGTCCGCATAATCTCGTGGATGTAAAAGTGTGGGGTATGATGAGTTTCCCTGTGTCCAAATTGGTGTTTCGTTTTAAAAAAAAGTGTTCTCTACAATCAAACTACTAAAAAACCTGTATTTAGAAAATAGTCGATAAAAATATTCCCCTGAATTGTACAAGAAAAGAGGTACAGGGAGCACTGATAAAAGACAGAGCTGGAGTGATGTTATTCAGCTGCCTCATCTTTCTGATCGGCTGCGTTCGTAGCGGGAGCCTGGAAAACAGAACAGACAGATGAAAATGACTCTGAGAAGATGTGTTTCCTTTTTAGGAGCTCATCCGTGGTGATCTAAGCCTCACCTCTTCCTCAGCTTTGGCTTCACCGTTCTCAGCTGGGGCCTCTGGTGCTTTTTCCTCAGGCTTGGCCTTCTCCACCTCCTTGGCTTTCTTAGCCTTAACGGGTCCCTTCTACAAAAGAAACACCAAACTAATGAGCTATTCCTGAATAAGGAAGCTTTGCATTTAAAGTCGCAGGGAAGCGGCTGTTCTAACCGTTGTCTGAATTCTCCTGAGTGGTGCCCGACTTTACACGAGTGAATAAAGTGAATGTGATTGGTCAATTATCAAGGGGGCGGGATTATTATGGCGGAAGGTTCGCAAGCAAGTTTGATTGTTCCCGGTTTGTCGGAAGTATCTTGCTAACCAGTTAGCAACTTGGTGCTAGTAGGTTCCCAATGGGAAATTCCATTGGGACCAAGTAGCACTAAATTGGTGACTTAGCAACGACACTGTCAAGGAACGCTATGGACAGAGGAAACATGCAAGAGGAGGAGAGTTTGGTGTCGGAGGTCGTGGATGAGTCTCCTCCGTCATCCATTTTTTATTTAGAGGAGGAAAGCGGGACGGAGATGTTGTGGAAGAGGACGCCAGGGCGGCAGAAGCTTGGTTCGGTGTAGAAGGCTTCCAGCCGTACATGTTTGAGCCCTTGCCTCGCAACGCTGGCAGTTCTGTTAGCTCTACGCCTGCTGAAGACACAGACGTCCATCCTCGTGAACACTGAGACGTTTTTTATTTCAACCGCTGTGTATATTAGCTGCGACATATGAATAAAGATGCTATGACCGAAAAAAATTTGACAGATGACCGTTGATATACGATGAATTTAGGTTTACAGGCTGACGTTTAAATAACTGTCCTGCATAAGATAACGGAAAAAATAACAAAGGACTTTAAGACAGGATTTTTTTTTAAATAGAAATTTCTAACTTTTGGGACAATATGGTCTGATAAAGCATACATTTATATACAAGTTTAAGCCAGAATGACTTGACATTTATATATAATTTTCCTACGACTTAAAGCTTAACAAAAAAAATAACTACCTTTGGCTTGGGTTTGGCCTCTGCTTTTGCAGGTGCAGGTTTCTGTGAAAAAAAAAATGAAAACATACAGTACAGCACTGTCAACAGTTAAAGGTTTATTAGTGAACGGATGCACTTTTCTGCACTTACATCTTTCAACCTAAGAGATCTCCTCTTGGGCTGTGGATAAAACAAACAAACAGTGATTAAATGTTAAACTCTTGGCATGTCCTAATACGTTGTTAGTGACCCCTACTGGGTATTTTACTACCCCCATCCAACATAAAGTATATCCTACATCAAATCATAGTATTTGTATTGATTCTTACCGCTGAGTCTCCTCCTGCTGCTGCCTGTAAACACACAGGAAGAAAAGGATAAAAACTATTAGTGGGTGTGTAGTACAGGTTTAGATATTAGCTATTGAATGCAAAATGCACATTTCCATCTGTTCTGCAATAAAGATGCAAACCTCCAACCCATCTTTTTAGCTTTACTTAACAATTTGCATGACGTTTGTGCTTTAAAGTGATCAAAAAGGTGTGATCTAACAGGGCTGATGGCAGCATATCATCTACGTTTTAAACAAAATATACATATAATTCCTTAGTAGTTAAAATTTGTATTTTATTTTTGCTTTCTTTAGATTGATTAGCAGGTCAAACCCCTAAGTTGCTTCCAGTTTAATTAATACATCTAAAACTTTAGCTAGTTTCCTACTGTCTTTAACTACGCATGCAAAGCTATAATCTTTTGATCCAGTTATTTTCTGGAGAACATTTACCAAAGATCCAATTTCATTAAATTTCATTTAAGTATCAAAGCTCAATCAACTCAATCAGGATCCCCAATGGTGGAGGTTTTCAACAGGGGGTCCACGACCCCTAGGGGGTCCACGGAGGTACTGCATGAGGCTCATGAAAGTTTTGGTTGATTACACTTTTTTTTTATATCCCACCTACAATTTTTTCCACTAATTGAAATGTCTTTAAATCCACATTAACATGAATTTAACACACTGTAGTAAACAGATAAAAGGAGGCAGAAGATGTCTTTTAGTAATCAATGCACACATTCAGCGACAGGAGCTCTTTCAAGCTGGGCACCATTTCATTCACAACACTTGTCCCATCAACCAGGATTCAGAAACACTTTAATAATCCCAGGGAGAATTACTTTCATTACATTACTCCATATGTAATGGAGTGACTATAGGACCTGTGTAAGGATCCTTATAATTAGGGGGTCCCCGCTCCATCTCGCCATCAGTTTGGGGTCATTGTCCTGGAAAACGTTGAAGACCCCTGCCCAATGGTTATTAACTAAACAAACCTTTACCACGCATGCGAATAATTAAAATCAATTGTTTTCTGTGCTGAGTCGACAGGTAAAATCACAACAAATAAATCCTTTTTGTTTTCCGGCTTGTTTTTTGTCGTTTTAACTCCGGCTTCCGACAAACACACGAGTCCAGCAACACTGATGCGTCTGTGCATGCATGGAGCCCATAGAGCAAAACACTACAGGAGTTGTTTCTAACTGACTGACACACTAAACTGTGTTTAAAAACGTATCTGTCAACTTGATGAATTGCTGAAAAAATGTCTCTTTTGCCGTTTAACATAAAACCTATCAAGAATTTTGAAGCAGCCTAAAAGGAATAGGAACGTTTCAGTCGTTGAGCTTTTATTTTAATTTTCTCGTTCTGTCCTACTTTTCCTCTCAGTTATCACTCAACTTATTTAGTAAATAAACTTATAATCTTAGTTTATTTACTGTTTTTACTGCACTTATCATCTTAAAATTATGATTTATAATCATACCCCACAAGCATCGTCATTCACATTTCCCCCTAAATTTTCACACTATATGTTTACATTACTTATTGGCTGCATCTAAAAATATAAAAGATATTTTCAATTTAAACATACATATGAAATAATACAATATAACATACAATAATTTAAATTATATCATTGTTTTGTCATACTTTTCCTTTCAGTTATCACTCAACTTATTCAGTAAATAAACTTATCATCTTAGTTTATTGACTGTTTGTACTCTACTTATTGTTTTAAAAATAAGATTTAAAATCCTAGTTTACAAGCGTCGTCATCTTCCCCTAAATTTTCACGTTATAAGTTTACATTATTTATTGGCTACATCTAAAAATATCAAAGATATTTTCAATTTAAACATAGATATGAAATAATACAATAACTTATATTGTATCATTGTAGTAGGTCATCATCATCTCTTTAGTCTAATAAGCTGCCTGTAGTGTCTCTAAATGTCCAGCAGATGTCAGTATTCTGTGAGACAGTATCAATACAGTTTGGAAGTGTGTCGAAGCGCATGGAAGTTCACGTTTCTGCCACGAGGTGGCGCTCCTCCAGCATCTGCTAGCAGCTTTCCTACAGCAGCGTTCCGGCAGGGAGGGGGAGGAGGACTCCGCCTCCATCTTTTCTCTCGGTAATAAATGGGACTGGGCTAAAGTCCGAGCTGAAGTGAGAGACGGCAGATTCCCGCCAGGAGTTTGAAAAGAGTCTGAGATGCTGCTAGGAGAATATGCTAGAAGCCCCAGCAACAGGAGCAGCGCTGCGATGACGAAGGCTCGCCATTGCATAACCTCCAAGTGGCCTGAGCCGTCCTGAACACAGGGGGAAGCGCTCACTGAGCACGACGAATGTCCAACTATACAGGAGTTTTTCTCCAGGAAATGATGGCGGACACATATTTAACAATCAAACAAGTGATGTTTTAATGAAGGAAAGCCAAATTAAAGCTTTTAGTTTACTATACACTTTTAATACCTCACAAAATAAACATGAAGCTAATAAACCCAGCGCGCATTTTTTCCTAATTTTCTGCTCTCTTTATATCGTTTCCCTCCATGAAACTTTGGTTCTCAGAGAAAACAAATCAATATGCCGCCAACTTTCTGTGCAGAAACGCCGTCCAGCAGCAGCGGGCCACCTCTGCCCGACAAAACAAACAACCACCCCACATTCACGCAACTGCATTCTGCTTTAGCGGGGATTCCTTATGCTGTAAGTGGAGAGAAAGATAAGCAGGCGGAGTGGAAATCACTAAGATAATCACTGCACGTACGAACAACAAGCCATGCAACAGAGCACTACAAACAAAAACTACAGCAACACGCCGCCTTCCTGCACAAAACTCGCATTTTGCATCAGCGGATGATCCGCTCAGCTTAACACCAAACCATTAATCCACGATTGCAACACTGGGTTATAAATACATTATTACTGAATGGATGAAGTATATCCGTCTACTCACTTTGCTCCTTTTAGGCATGGTTGGTTTGTGTGGGGGAGTATTTATAACGAAAAATAAAAAAAAAAAAGATGAAAAAAATGAGCCGAATTTAAAGTAAATGGAACAGAAAATGCAGCGGTATATTCTGGATAAAGCTGTGCCAATACAGCCAGATACAGCGCCGCGAGACGTTACTGGTCCATTGGAAGGAAAAACTAGCTCAAACCGGATTGGATTCTCCCCCTCCCTCTCGTTTCAAACCCTTACGCTCCCTGCGTGATTGACGGCGCTATGCCCCGCCCCTTCTGAGCGTTGATTGGACGAGAAGGTGGAGAACGGCGCATTTCAAGGCCGTGCTCTTACCTGTGTGGATACGTCACATGTCAATCAACAGACATGCTATGTGTCTCTGTTTGCAGCCGCCTGCCATAACAAGGCAAAATTATTAAAGCTTCATTCCACTCCGTCGAAAAATGTCCCCCTTCCCTTTTGTACATCAACCAGGGATATTTCTAAGCACATCTGCGACACCGAACCTCTTTACTATTAGTGAAATAAATCATATTTATTGCCATGTGTTTGTTCAGAAAACTCATAGAGGGGTGTGTGCTCCCTTGGCCGAGAATCTTGGGCGAGCGGTTTAACTGGGGAAAATGGCGACAGGATGCATGTTGGTACAGTTCCTAGAGCGTGTGCGTGTGTCTGCCCGTGTATTCTTGTGCAACCTGCCTGTCATGTGTTACTTGAAGTCTCCTTCTGCAGGGTGTGCTCAGTGTCCACGCATGACTTCAGTGGAAACAAGTGCGTTAGGCTTTTAACGTCCATTCACAGACATTCACTCACTTTTTTACAAGTGAAACAACAGCGTCCTTATTGTTACTTTTTTATAATCCCATGACCTATAAAATGAATTGGTGCCATGCACATCAGCCACAGTGTTCAGATAAAAATCATAGCTGATGGATTAACTAATTGATGGAAATAGTTAAAAACTCTGGATTAATGTTCAAGAGATTTAATAAGGTGTAGATGTGCAAAACACTGCACCCCTGGATTGGGCACCAGAGGGCATTTATATGTGAGAAGGAAAAGCGTTAGAGCAGCAGCTTCCAGAGCCCCTGATAATTAGCGGAAATAGAGAAGGACAAAAGATGCAATGGGAAATTTTGTGTCTTTTATGGTTTCTTCCCTTTCCAATAATGCCCTCTTAGCCCGAGATGAATTTGTGCAACCTTGGAAAAATATTAATATCCCTTCAGAGTTTTATTTCTGCATTATTTAGCTCACATTCCCAAGCTTATAATTAACAGATGAGGTGAACTTGAAAAATAAATAAATAAATGAAAGCTTCTGATAAGTCCACCTGTTTTCTGTTTTGATTCTGCAGACATCTAGTCACCAACCAGAGTCCACCTGGGTTTGGTTTAATCCCATGATGAATCTAACTGTTTTCTGTAGTCCTCAGATGTTTGTTTGAGCATTGATTACCAGAGCTGGTGCCTGGACCCCGTTTAGAGTCACCGATCAACAAATATGGGTCTGGAGATCCTCTACAGAAAGTAAACCAAACAATAAGTATAATCTGTTGAACTGTAAAGTGCCTTGAGATGACATATGTTGTGAAATGGCGCTATATAGATAAACTGAATTGAATAAAAACAAAGATGTAAATAATTTTTTCTTCATATAGTATTTTAAGATATAAGAATATCAAATACAAATATATTAAATTAAGTACATTAATTGTTGATGATGTTTGTATTATTATTATTACTGTGGTATTATTGCGGTTAATGGATTTTACAGACATTTCTGTATTAGTTCATTTTTATCATTATATGGATCAGCAGCTAAAACTAACCTGTGTCTGAAAACTTAAGTGATCAAATAGAATCCCAAAGACCAATAACCACAACTGACAGGTCAGTTATGATGGAGAATCTGAAGCAGAGGAGGGTTGAAAAAGATATCGCAGGGAAGTTTTAGAGTAAAACGATGATAGGACATGTCCGCTCTGAACGGAGAGCATGTATCAGATAAGCAGCCTGAAGGCCCTTTGGTATCTGGAAGATTAGCACAGATCCACAACTCAGGCGGGACATGAGGTGGGACTCTGAAAGTGTTAAAAACAATAAAATAGAAATAGTTGTTGTCGAGGAACCCACAAGATGTATTTTAAAACTGGAAAAAACTATCTAGAAATAAGTAAAAATTTCTTAAATTATTGTTACCCTTAATTTGAAAATGAGATAGTTTGCCATTGGAATTAGAAATAAGACAATGCAATTGTGTTTTCTTATTTAATTGTAAATTGACTTATTCCATTAGCAAAATGTTCCTGAACAAATTCACTTATTTTAAGAAAAAAATACTTATCTAGATTTAGATTTTTTCCAGTGAACTCAAGAAACACATCCACAACCTGTGGAAGAATTTCGCTGTGGTCAGATAAAATATCTAACAGTTTAGTACTGACATGTTAACTGATGTAAACTCCAAATTTTATTCCATTAAATAAATAAAACATCAATGTAAACGATTTACTGAACCCTAAGGAACATTAACTGTTGTTTTGATCTTAAAGCTTATCCATAGCTGCAGGCAAGATGGATCTCCTGTAGCGCTTTGTAGGGAGATGCCTTGCACCAAGGACTCTGTTTCAATTCACTTTATTTATATAGCGCCAATTCACATCACATGTCATCTCAAGGCACTTTACAGTTCACCAGATCATCCAGTCAAATTGATTCAGTTTTCTATCTAAGGAAAACTAGTTGATTGCATCAAGTCATTGACTCAAAGGCAATCCCTCACACTAAGCAAGCTTCTAGCGACAGTGGAGAGGAAAAACTCAATTTTAACAGGAAGAAACCTCCAGCAGAAACAGGCAATGATCTTTAACAATCCTCTTCAGAGGATTCTCAGGGTCGTCTGCAATGTTCTTCATTTAATGAAGAACTCTTAGTAAAATCCTCTTCAGAGGAGTTCCTAGAACAGAGCTAGCCTTGTCTATTAGCCTGTTGAGCTTCCTTTAAATGATTGTTTTGATGCTGTTACTCCAACAGATGATGGCAACAGATCATACTCTCAACAGCAGAATTACTAAAGATACATGACATGCGGCATCTTGCTGCAAACACTGAAGGAGTTTTTCTTAGAACAGTCTGCTCTGTCCCTTCTACTAGACGTTTTAACAATGATGTTGTCAAACACTGATGAATTTATATTCCGTGTCCAGTTTTTCTACCAGTTTCATCTAATTTAAAGTGTTTGAATTGCTTCTGTTTATTCCGAAATCACCCCCCTCCCCTCATTTTATTCAGATTCATGATGAGATTATTGTTTCTAGGCTTGAAAGAATTATTTGGCTTATTTGCATTTATTGATTATTGAAATTACTGTAATGTCATTTAGTAATCAGTTAATTGTCAACTGTAGTATAGAGACTGTAAAACATGACCTTAGCTGACAGAGCAACCTACTTGGAGCAGTAATTATATCAAAATTGTAAAAATATATATATTATTTTGCATTTAAGATTTAAAAAATTGTATGCATTTCTAGGCGCAGCTGAGTGAGGGGAGCTTTCTTGGTGGCCTTAGGATTGCATCTCTGTTATCCGCAGATGATGTGGTTCTATTGGCTTCATCAGAGCGTGATCTACAGCTCTCAGTGGAGCAGTTCGCAGCCGAGTGTCAGTGCCTCCAAATCCGAGACCATGGTCTTGAGCTGGAAAAGGGTAGAGTGCCTTCTCTGGGTTAGGGAGGATGTACTGCCCCTAGTGGAGGAGTTTAAGTATCTTGGGGTCTTGTTCACGAATGAGGGGAAGATGGAGTGGGAGATCGATAGGAGGTTTGGTGCGGCATCTGCTGTGAAGTGTGCACTGTACCCAGAGATGGGAAGTAACGAAGTACAAATACTTCATTACTGTACTCAAGTAGATTTTTCTGATATTTTTACTTTACTTTCCTACTTATTTTTATGGTGACTTTTTACTTCTACTCCTTACATTTTTACACAAATATCTGTACTTTCTACTCCTTACATTTTAAAAAATTGGCTCGTTACTTTAGTTTTGAATCATTTCAATGGAGTTACCGTTATTATTTTTCACGTCATCAATACCAAATTCAATCTAATTGGATGGGAATCTACGTTGCATTTGACGCACCACTACAAGATGAATCGACAGATTCGGCGGTATTCATTGGCGGCAAATCATTGCAGCTTGGTGGCGGTGGCGTTAGCATAGTAGCATGGACGACGAGATGATTGAAAATGAACACAACGGAGATCTAGTCCTATTGGCAGACATCCATTTAAAATGTAGGCAACGGCATGAAAAAAGTGGTTTCTACTTTTACTTTTATACTTTAAGTAAATTTACAAGCCTTTACTTTGTTACTTTTACTTGAGTAAAGAAGTTTAATCAGTACTTCCACTTTTACCAGAGTATTTTTTTAACACAAGTATCTGTACTTTTACTCAAGTACGGAAAGTGAGTACTTTTGCCATCTCTGACTGTACCTGGTTTAATTTCGTAAAAAGTCTTGTTTAAGGAACCTTTTGCTATCCGATTATTAACCGATTAATTGAAAATATTATCAATAGATTAATCAATTTGCAAAGTATTCATTAGTTGCAGCCCTAATTGTTTCCACACTCTTCCAAAAAGTGGTCCATAAGCTCCCTGTACTCAGCTTCCTGTTGCTCTCTGATACAACTTACAACTTCATACTTAACCGAGATTGTGTTGGAAATCAGAGGTGTGAAGATTAAAAATGAAAGGTGAGAGTACAGTCCCCTGTGGTGCTCCTGTGCTGCTGCTTGATTTAATTGAAATGAAGTAGCGATCACATTTTGCTGCAGACCATAAGGGTGACACAGTCATCTGGTAGAAAGTAACCCTATTAAAAACATATGGTTAGATGGAAAACTGTCAGTGAATAAGTTCAAGAACAAAGCATCCATACGAAGACATCTGATGGTAGCTGCTGTGGGGACAACTGTCCTCACAGAGGTAAGAAGATTGTCAAAGCCAAGCAGCAGGATCATCCTGGTAGAAACCTACTGAAGACTGAGGACAGACCTGAGACTTTCAGTAGTAGCCCAATCATACAGAGCTACAAGGAAATGGTTTAGATCAGAACATAGTCACATGTTTGGATGGTCTAATCAAAGTCCAGACCTAACCTGAAACCTCAGTAATCTCATAAAAAAGGTCATATATATATACATATATATAAATATCCTCAATAATGCAATATGATCCATCATGTAAAACTCAAATAAATACACCAAGGTCTGTTGTTGTTTTGTAAAGCCATGAGGACAAAAAAGTAGCATTGGTTAAACTGGGGCAAAGCTTAGCCTTTTTGGCCCTACATGTGTAAAGCCATGAATGAAGGCAAACTATAAACACTATATACATCTATACAACATATTCTCATTATCAGTTCGTATGAAATCGTACGAAAAGTTATGAACACTATTTCGTACGTTTTGGACGTTTTTCCTCAAAAAACCAGATCAGTGCGCATGCGCAGGCAGACAGACAAAAAAAACAGATCCGCGGACGGACGTAAAAATGGGAAAAACAGTGCAATAATCACTTCTTCATGTCTCTTACTACGTGGCTTGCTGTTTTATATCTTAGGGTCAGGGTTAGGGCTAATTGTATTTTAAATTCTATGTTCTTGAATAAAAAAAACGTCCAAAACGTATGAAATTACGGTGCATAACTTTTCGTACGATTTCATACGAACTCATAATGAGAATACACTGATCTATGATGTACCATGAATGTGCAGTATGTTTTGGGAAACAACGTGGTGGCAACATCAAGCTGAGGTAAACAGGAGGAAGCCATTTAAAATAAAAAAAATCGGACATATAGACTGTGTCTGAACATCACTGTCACTACCCGATCCGGCCCAGAAGCACGATCCATCCTGAGCATGCGCCATCAGCTCATTTTTGCATCCGCATCCAGATATAAATCTGGGTCGACCATTTTATTTTGTTGAAAATACCTAAATTACGTTTTTCCCACCCCAAAATAGTAAGTGTACTAAAATATAATGTGTTAAAGGTTAATAATGTATTTCTTGAGTAAACTAATGCCTTAAAATCCTTTATCACTCATCTCTGCACTGGAAATGGGATCCTACGCTACTTCCTGGAGCTAACCTTTTAGGCTTTGGATTTAAACATACATCTAGTCTCTTTGAGTTTTATGTTTTCCTTTCGTGTAACATTATGCTATATAGTGCTTAATTTAAAGAAGGAAATAACTTAAACACAGATAAACATGTATTAATCAGATTTTGCCGGACTGCTCAGAGCATGTCTGATGATGACGTCAGAGAAGCAGTTTAACGAAGAAAATGTAAAAAGCTTCAAAACTGTCTCACAAAAGTCATAAAAAATTTTTTAAAGATGTGAATTAGCATTCTTTAGAGAGTTAAGGAGAGAAATAAGTAATTTTAGTACCATAATAACATTAACCCTGGTTGTATATCTGTTCGCGCATGGACAGGATGGATCGTGCTTCTGGGACAGATCGGGTAGTGAAAGTCCGCCCTAATCAGTATAAAGGGCATTGTATAGTGGTTGAATGAGTTTCCAAACATCTAATGGATGTAAAAGTAGTGGACTTGAAATTTCCCACAACGCACCTTGAAAAATAGTAATATCCATGGTTAATTGGCGAGCAAAAATATCCAGGAATGCTTCACGAGGGGAGCTTTCCTAGCAAAGCATTATGGGATTTGCTGTCACAACGGCCTGCTGTTGCTACCCGACAGTGGTGACACATAACAAAGATGGAATAGGCCCCAAGTAGTGAGGCAGAACCTCGCTACCAACAGGGAGTGAAAAGTAGTGATCATCTGTCTGAATGGTTAGTTAACTGAGCCCACTATATAGTCCCCGCTCTATATAGTACTTGAGGGATTTAGGGGTTAGGGCGGGCGTTTGGACACAGCCATATTTTATTATTGTAAAGAAGCTCAAATGACTTGTATACCTGTTGCCCCGACATCCATCCATTTTCCGTCACGCTTATCCTAAGTTCGCGAGGGGTGCTGGTGCCTATCTCCAGCTGTCTACGGGTGAGAGGAGGGGTCCATCCTGGACAGGTCACCAGTCCATCGCAGGGCAACACAGAGACAAACAAGCATTCATGCACACACTCACACCTAAGGAGAGTTTACAGAAGCCAATTATCCTAACAGTCATGTTTTTGAACTGTGGGAGGAAGCTGGAGTACCTGGAGAGAACCCACGCATGCTCAGGGAGAACATGCAAACTCCATGCAGAAAGACCCGGGCCGGGGATCGAACCCGGAGCCTTCTTACTGCAAGATTTGCCCCAAAAGAAATAAATAATAATTCAGTAGAATAATGAACTTCGGAATTTCCTGGATTCTTTGATCAACCGTGAACCACAGTTCCACTCATTTAAAGCATGCAGTCAGGTGTTGCTTGAAGCAAAAACGATAGTAAGGAGTCAAAGTTGAACAGAAACCTCCATAATGAAAGAATTAGAAGTTCAAAAACAACTGAACTGTGGATAGACTTAAAATAGCCCAACTAATTGGCTTACATCTGTATGTCGGTATGCCTTTGTAGACACTGTGTAAATACACCAGATGGAGGGAAAAAAGGCAACAGTTGTGGAACAGGTTAGCCTGCAGTTCTGTTGATTGCTGCTGCCTGCAGATCGCTCCTCCTTTTTTTAATCTGACGTTGAAAGTTTGCAAACATTCAGCGAGGGGATGTTTTCTAACCAGCAAAAACGAGGAATTGATGCAATTTTTAGGAATTGCATCTATTACAGTTCAGTTTTTTTCAAACTCATATGGAAAACCTATATAGAAGAAACATTAAGTAGCGTTGTGAGGTCTGTGCAATAACCAGAACACAGGCGTTGGCATAATCCCCAGAGGAGGTGACAGGATGAAGGTAAAGGTGACCTCATTTAAAGCCTCTTTGGCGGAGGGCAACTTGTTCATGTATCTACCTCTGTGATTCACAGTCTTAAGTATTATGTTAATGGTTGCAGACTATTAACTGGTGTTTCTGTGCTGCATGTTTTTCAAAATACAACAGCAACTAAAAAATAGGAGTTTCTGTTTGATAGAACCTTTAAACATAGTGTTTTGAGTTGCACAGGCCAGTGATAAGTGTGAATGGGGTATTTGGATGTAGAGAAAAGCTTAGTGTCTCCGTGTTACTAAGTGGATTTCTCTTGCAGTGAGAGAGGAGGAATATGTTCTCTGCTCTTAACGGCATTTCAAGTGTTCATTTGTTTGACTGCTGCTGACTTTTTTTCCCTTAAATATCTTTATCTTTTTTTGATTGATGGGATGGCAGAAAGTGAGCCCAGTTATTTTTCACTGGAAAAACGATCTAGAAGATTTTTTTTACATTAAGTGTATTTATCCTTATTTTGAGTAGGTTAATGAGACAATTTGCTAATGGAATCAGTATTTTTACTCTTAAAATAAGATATTTAGATAAAATACACTTAAAATAAGACAATGCAGTTGTTTATTTCTTATTTTAAATGAAAATCGTAGTGTTCCATTGGCAAAATGTCTGTTTTACCTTCACAATTCAAGAATAAATGCACTTATTTTAAGAAAAAATGACTTATCTAGATTTAGACTTTTTCCAGTGTAAAATTCAAAATTGAATTTATAAACCACCTTAAAACACGTGTTCTCCACTGGTCACACACTTTGTTACATTTTTCTTTTTCCTTTAAAAGGAGTGAGTTGAACAGAGGTGTGTTTTGAACATGCCTTTATTAGTCATTTACATGTGAGAGGGCGGTAGCTGCCCCGGAGACAACAAGTCCTAATAAGCTCGGTAACAATAAACCTTAGTCGGCTTTAACCATTGATGAGCCAGCAGCTGACATAACAAAAGCAACTCTAACAATAGAAATTAATGCATGCTCTGACTTAGTGCTGTTTTATTGTTAGGGAAGTGTTACATGCAAAAGTCGCACCGTCTTGCCCTATCTAATATAAGGGAGCAATTAAATGGAACTAATCTCTAGATGTGTTGGAAGCAGTGAAACAAATGGGCGATTAAGTCAAGCACCCCAAGAGTGGGTGTCATACATCATCACTGATGATCCCTGACAGAGAGGCTCTGGTGAAAGAGGGGGCCTCCGAATTGCTTCCATTGCTGGCCTTGAGCAGTGAGATCTCAGCGCTGACCCTCCCCCCACCATCTTCTTCCTGTTTCTCATGGTTGTCTGGCTGCTTCTGGCTATACAATATTAGCAGGGTCTGGGAACATACAACTGTGTGCTCTACAGATAGCCTCATAAAATGGCGGCCATAATTGGCCCCTGGAAGTCAAGCAGTAAACAGCACAAAGGAGAACCAGAACTAGTCATGTTATTTTTACTTTATGTTCCTTTCACTACAATGGTAAACCATTGTGCATCCTTATGTGGAGCAAGTGATTGTTTTGTAGAGACAGGTGTTGGATTAAGATGTGTGTTTTTTTTTTTTTTTATATTCCAGTAAATTACAGCAGATCTGTTCTGATTACATCTTACTGGAGGGTTCTTAAGTGTGAATGCCCTTTTTAAAACTATGCCGATTCAATTCAATTCAGTTTACTTATATATAGCACCAATTCACAACACGTCATCTCAAGGCACTTTACAATTCAACCAAATCATACAGTGAAATGATTCAAAGTTTTTTATCTAAGGAAAACCAGTTGATTGCATCGACTCATTGACTCGAAGGCAATCCCTCACACTAATCATGCTTGTAGCGACAGTGGAGAGGAGGTTCAAGGAGACAGAAGCCCACATAGAAAAAGAAGCAGAGATACAAAGGGCAACTGTAAACCAGCTCTACAGGCGGCCCCGTCCAGGAAACACACAGCCAGGCAGATGAGCACAGCATCTCTTTTGGATCTAGGAGTGAGGGATTGTTGTAGAGTAAACAACACAATGCAAGCGAAAATCTACTGTCGCTACTTGCTGATCTAGTTGGAACGTATCCTGTAAAATCACTGACTCAATACAATTCGCAGGTATTCTTAGATAGGAACTTTTGAACCAGTGGGACTGTTTGATCTGATTAAATTGTCTCTATAAAGTGACTTAAGAAGACATGTATTAAATGTATCTCTATACACTAGAGATAGAGAAAACCGAACTGAATTTAGGTTCAAACTTTGACTGATCATCTCCAGAACCAATTAGTTTGCTTTAGATGATTATTTTTGTGTCATTTATTCAATGGTCCGACATGGATTTTTGGACACAGCCATGGTGTTTTGAAAACCATTAGTATTTCAATTCAATTCAGTTTATTTCTATAGCGCCAATTCACAACACGTCATCTAAGGGAACTTTACAGTCCACCAGATCATACAGGCAAATTGTTTCAAAGTTTTCTTTCTAAGGAAAACCAGTTGATTGCATCGACTCATTGACTCGGATACAATCCCTCACACCAAGCATGCTTGTAGCGACAGTGGAGAGGAAAAACTACTTTTTAACAGGAAGAAACCTCCAGCAGAACCAGGCTCAGTGTGAGCGGCCATCAGCCATGGCCAACTGGCAGATGGCCATACAATAATGTATTGAAAAAAATATTGTTTCTTCTTACCAATTGAAAGTTGTTTTATGGAAAAATCATGATGTTCTTTTGTCGAAACTGTTATTGTGTTACTGTGTTATGTCAAAATAGGAAAAATGCAGCACTATAATCATTCAAACTAAATACTCAACTGAACTTTAAAGTGAAAGTTTTTGTAACTTTTATAGTATCAGAAATTACATCAATAACGTAAACATGAATGGGTTCTTAATTCTAGTAACATTGTTACAGTGGTTAATAGAGCTCATTTTAATCAAGCCAGCAACACCATGAATACATGTAGGGGGGTTTATTGACTTGTAAAAGAGATGCTCTTTGGCTTTGTGATGAAAATGCAGCATATAGGCCACTTTAGTCCCCAGCTGTGCCTTTGGCCTGAACAATAAACTCTATGGTTCCATCCAATAAGCTTTGTTTAGAGTAGTTTGACTGTATATTTATTGTAAATTAATTATTAGTAGATTAGTAGATGACCACTGCTTTCGCTCCCCATTGGTCACATGACTCTGGCTCCCCGCATGGTGCCTGTGCCATCTTTGTTCACCCTCTTTGCTTAGTAGGGGGAGTTGGATATTTCAGTTAAAGTTTAATTAAAGGGGTCAGGGTAGGTGATGTAAGTGAGAGTTGGTACAAAGGATGATTAAGAGGTTAGGGATTAGGCTTGTAGGGTGAAAGTAAGGTGCCCCGTGATTTTACAGCAAAGCCGTTTTTTCAATCGTTGCTCGTAGCTACAGCTCACACAGTATGACAAAACCGCTGGGTTTTGTCGTACTGTGCAAAGGGCAAAAAATCGTACAATGTTTGCCTGGCTTAAGTTGTAAAAGGCAAGGGCAAGATTCTTATAAGATCATTGGATAGGGTCTGGCATCAGTATTCTGTGACATTGGGATTAGTTAACAAAAGTACATGGTAAGGTGATCTTTTCCTCAGTCTAGGATCATGTGTTATTGTTAAAAAGGAAAGGATGTTATTCGCAGGATAGGATTGAGGATTGTTAACCAATATTTGGGTTTGTAGGGGCACTGTGGGTTTAGTGTTAGCTATAAGATGTCAGGGTAAGGTGATTGTGACTTAGATGGGTAGTGTTTACTATGACCTTAGGTTAAGTTGCTAAAAAGTCACAGTAAGGTCTGTCAATTATAGACGGTCAATCATAGACGGTCTGTCCATATCTAGGCATGGACAGACCGTCCATGCCTAGATATGGTTATTGTGTTTTGGTTGAGAAGAAAGTTAAAAAGGCTGTTATTGGCAGGATGGAATAAAGGACTGTTCGGCCCCAGCCTTGGATTGAACTCCAGTCCTGGATTTAAAGGGGTTTCCCCCATCTCACTGAGCTGGGTATTGGCACGGGGAATCAGGGGGTGCCAACTGTTCCTGGATACTTTAAAACAAAATAAAATAAAAATGGAAAAAAGGAAAATAGAATGGGGAGTTTAGGAGTTTGATTTATTAGTGGCATAGGTGTATGCGGTGGGTGAAAGGTGGATCCCTGGTTGGCTCTACTGGGTCAGAAACTGAAAGCGATGCAACTGCAGCTCAACAGGGCAAAGGCCAAGGAACTGGTGGTGGATCTGAGAAGGAGTAAGGCCCCAGTGACCTTTTTTCTATCTGTGGGGTCAACATGGACACTTTGGAGAATTATAAATACTTAGGGCTGCACTTAGACAATAAACTGGACTGGACTAAAATGCCCTCTGCAGAAAGAGTCAGAGCCGTTTCCTTTTTCCGAGGTGCCTTAGTACCTTCAACATCTGCCGGACAATGCAGTGGATGTCTTATGAGTCTGTGGTGGCCAGTGCCATCCTTTGTGCTTTTGCGTGCTGGGGCAGCAGACCAAAGGTGAAAGACGCCAACAGACTTAACAAACTCATCCACAAGGCCAGTCATGTTGTTGGAGAGGAGCTTGACTCTCTGGCAGAAGTGTCAGAGAGGAGAAAGTTGGCCAGAATAAAATCCATGCTGTACAATTCTGCACATCCTCTTCATCATTTGCTGGTCACCCTAAGAAGCACCTTCAGTCAGAGACTTATTTCTGGCCATCAAACTTTATAATTCATCTCTCTGAGAGTTGTTTCATTTAATCACTTATTATTTACTTATTTTATTACTTCACTGTGTGCAAAAACATGGTCATGTGCAATAATTGTAATTTGGTATTAAGCAGCATTGTAAATTGTAAATACTGTTGATTGTATATGCTGAGGTCCTTTTCTTATTTTATTCTTATATCTCACTTGTACATACGATCTTATTTTTATCTCTTCTGTAAATGGCTGCACTGCAAGAAAAGAATATCCCACAAGGGATTAATAAAGTATTTCGGAATCTGAAAGCACCTATGCATTACAGACCGGAGTTTGGTCTGGAGTTAAGGGAGGACAGGCAGTCCCGAACAAGCACCTTTTTTTTTTAAAGCCACCTCAAAACAATTGCAGAGCATTCCCTATTTCTAGCTTTTTAAACATTATTTTCTCTATATCCCATTCTAACTGAAAAAAGGTTTGCCTTGGGTGCACTTCTTTAATCTACATCATGACTGCAAACCAGTCCCTGATTGGTTGCCGTGACGCAATTTCATGGAAAAGTTTGGCTTTTTCTACTTCAGTGATAACCACTCTGCTCTCTCCATGTTGTGCTGCTGTTTGACAACATCTCAGTTCTATTTAGTAGCAGCAGGTGAGAGCGGAGCAGCGAACGCTCTCACCGTGTGGGATTCACCTCTGGCTGCTTCCCTGCCCTTTTCCACGCAGTTTGCATAGGGATACTATATAGATTAACCACCCTTTCCGCGGACACTTTTGTTGGTCTGAAAGTACTTTGAGGGTCCTTGTTTATCAGTAGTATATGTATGTCTAAGGGGTGCAGCTGAATCCCTGAAGGGCCTCCTATTTGTTTATCCGTCCCTATAGCTTTCTGGGTGAGGTGGATTTCCTTGCCTGCACTTCCCCTTTCTTTACTTGAGGTGTGGCTGTAGATTGTCAGCGGCATATGTATTTGTTGTGTTTGCAGTTGGATCTTTTAAGGGTCCTTATTTTGAATATTCATTACTATATCTTTCTCTGTGTGGGCCATATCCCTGCTGACGCTTGCCCTTTCATTGTTTGAGGTGTGGATGTGTAGTCTCTGTGAGTGGTGTACATGGAGTGGGTGTATGTGGACCCACTGGAGTCCTTGTTTCTGTTTATCAAATCCTTATTTCCAGTGGTGGATGAAGTATTCAACAGTAGTACTTGAGTAAAAGTATTGATACTCACAGTCAAATCTTACTCAACTGCAAGTTAAAGCTAGTTGTTCAAAATCCTAAAGTTAATGTACTAAAGTACTGACTTTGGAAGTACTGAAGTATTTAAAAGTACTAAAGTATTAAAAAGTAACAATTACATTTTCTAATATTACTATATTTATGTATAATTTTCAGAGTTGTTTTAAAGAGCCTTGTAACTTTCAGAAGCCCCCTGATGTTTTGATGCGTAGAACCACCTGCTACAGATTCTACACCACCTGGAAAGAACTTCAGCATAAAAAAAGGCCACAAAAAATAAAGACAGATATTTTGATTATTATTTCTTATTTAAAGAAAACAGGAGTGTTTTAAATCTTTTCACACTTTCCCCATGGAATAGAGGTTCATGGTTGAATCTATTACCAGAAAGAAACTGCAACTCTGATTTGAGAACTAATCCTTCTGAAAAACTTGGCCACATGGCAACAACTAACGCCTTAATAAAGTTTATGGGTTACTAATAATATCGACCCTGAATTTCTCACATTTTGGAACGTCGTGCAAATCTAAAACAAAATCTAAAAACAGTGGTGTTTAAATTCGGCCCTAAAAGCTGTTATCTTACATGTTGAAATTGCATTTCAAAAGTAACAAGTAATTAGCAGCTTCCTCAAAATGTAGTGGAGTTGAAAGTACAAAATTACTCATGTATAGTAAAAATGCTCAAAAAAAGTACAATAATCAAGTAAATGTACTTTGTTTTTTTCCACCACTGTACTACCTCGTAGCAGGCGTTTCAACTGTTTATCACCAGATGGCAATAATAACATACACAATGTATTTTTAAAATGGCCGGACAATAAGCAATATTCACTAAAAGCAATAACAGTGATTTATTTCTACTTCAATACTTATTACCATTTATATTCCATTTAATCTATCCCACACGGAGTTGTGTGAATCTTTCATTGTTGCATAGTTTCTTTACCTTTTGATAAATTGCTAAGAAATACATTTTCAGCTTGTATTTAAATTGCCTGAACGTTAAACCCAACACCAGCATATTCCAGTGGTTGTGATAATGGAATGTAGTTTGCTCTTATGGGAATTATGAAGTGATCAGACTGACCGGTACTGTTGGCAGTAGGTGAAAGAAAAGTTTGTATTTTACTATTAATATTATTATAAGAAATGTTTGTCTTCTGTATCTCTGTATCCTTTTTTTAATGCTCCTGTCAATCATAGAAATTCAAAATGGAAGCACATTACAGATTTAAATTCCTTTGTGACGCTTCAAATTAGTATAATAATCCTATACTGACCCCTAGTGGTTGATATAATTGGTGTCGAATGAATATGAATGTTCAGAACTAGAGGATTCTAGCAGGTTTGATGGTAATTTAACAGCATATATTCACATATTTAAATGCTGTTCAACATGAAATAAGCATAGAAGTGCCAGAAATGTTCCAACTAAATACCAAAAATAACACTAAAGACAGAAACATGGTAAGAAATAGATCCAAAATCTGTTCTGTTTTTTTTTATAAAGGAGTAATTTACAGTATAGAGTATTTAGAGATCAGATGAAAGTTTGTTTGCTTTGTTTATGATGTTTATAGAGTTTATGTCCTCTAAAGATCACTCCTCCTACCCTAATAACTGTTAATAACTGCTATAATACTCTTTGATTGGGTCTGGGTCATTGCACAATCCAATTTGGGTAGCTTTACCTACCCAGCGCTGGTTAAATATTGGACAGAATAGATGCTAGGTTAATTTAACACAACAATTTGGATTTGTCCTTTAATACAGCAATTGGATTGTTTATAAAGCCAGATCTAGGGCTCACATTGACTTCACTGCTGGTTTGTTCAAACCAGCAAATTTGGGTTGTTAATATATAATTATTTTGAATATTATAATATATTTTATAACTATTATGCCAGATTAAAATCATTATTATTTTTGATATATTAGAACTATTAATTATTAATATTACACTTCTAATTATTTATTATCTTCTTCATGAAATACTTTTTCACAGATTTTTTACCAGACTGACAGCTGTAGCCTAGATACTACAATGGCTGCGTATAGAATGCTGCAGTTTATAATTGGTGTTGGGCAGAAAACTTTGATTTATAGAATTCAAATAAACTTTTTTATTAATAAATGCCCTACTTTATACTAAAGTGTGTCACACAAGTTGTGAATCAGATCTAGTTCAACACATCATATTGGTTAATATAGCAGACAGACAAGCTAACAAAATGTACAATAAAGGAATTGTTTAAGGCATACAAGGTTTCTATAGTAAAGCAAGTACTTCCTGATCTACTATGAATTATGCTTTATACAGACATCAATAAAATCTTCATTACTCCAAAAAAATCGAAGAAGAAAAAGCATTCTTCTCTCTCCTTTGACAATTTTGGCTTTATTTCTGATCATTTAACCCTTTTTTACCGCTGCAAAGGGGTCAAAGTACATTTAAATTCACAGGGTTTTGATATAGTAAAATATACAGAGAGAGCCGACATACTGGCCTTGTAAGGCTAACTAAAATGTTGAAATATTTAAAGGAAACAGAGAAAATGTTTTAATGACAATACAAGGAAATTTTTACATCATACATGAATAGATAGAAAAAAGAACTATGAGAGAGAAATATTCAAAGATCTATGTACTGTTTCATCTGGGTCTTTAACCAAAAATAAGCAAAGCAATAAAATATTTGCTTTGGATATCGTTTAGGGATTCCTTTTAGTAGAAATTAAAGAATGTTTTGCGTCACCTGGAAACTGGAAGAAATAAAATGTTGATAGTTAGACCAACCGATTTCTTACACTTGGCAGAGGATGATCAGCCACATACAGTTTATTTAGTAGCGAGAGCAGGAAGAGCCATACTGCTGAGAGCAAACTACCAGTGTGGAGCGTAAAGTGCAACCTCAGAGCTAACGCACGCAAAGACGCCTATCTGCACAAGCACAGCTGGAAGATCGGAGTTTGTGAGAGTTCAGCGTGCAGTGCTGGACGATGGTGGATTATTTTCATCCCTGCAGCTGCTGCTATGGCTACACAACTGATACTGCTTAGCAGATTACAGCACAATGATGCATTTTAAATGTCTGACAGACCGCTAACATTTTTATTTAGTCTCGTCTTGTCAATGAAAACTCACACTCATGAGTCGTCATGTTTTCATCATCAAAGATCTACGTTCATCTCGTCAGTTTTCGTTATGGTAATGATAAGAAGGAGCATTAACGCAAAAATTAATAAAAGTATTAATAAATATTATTAAATAAAAGTATTTGTTCTTTGCAACTTTGTAATTGTACTTTTTTTTTTATCTATTACAGAACAAAATTCGGTATTTGCACTTAAAATTTGAAAAAAGTGTAAAAAAAAAAAAACTATACTTTTGAATTTTTTTGTATTTTTCAAATACAAAACTTATAATCTAACTCTCTCTGCAACTTCAAAGTCACACTTAAAATGCACAAATAGTTTTGATTCCAAATTACCTTCATATATATGCATCGGTTATTTGTTTGTGATACATTTTCTGTTTGTTCTTCCTCTCTTCCTGTAGGTGTAGAGGCGGACTGAGAGGATTTTTTTATCTTGTATTTTCCTTTTTTCTGTCTATCGTTCTTTTTGCCCTCTAATTTTTCTCCTAACCTCTCTGCCTTTCTTTTCTCATTGTATCTTTTCATGTCTTTTTTGTGCCATCTGAAATAATCCCAAAGCACGTCTAATACAGCTTTTTTCACATGTAAAGTGGAGCATTATAGCAAAAGTCGTAATGCTCCATTTGTGAAAGTAAATCTGTTGGGCTTCTCTTTGGCACTAAGAAGATTAACAGAACATGTTAATTAAAAGGAAAAAAGTCAGTTTAAAAGACACCTAAAGACAAATGTTTAATTTCTCCTCTGCTGACACACCTCCTCTTCACCTGTCAGGTGTGTCTCCAGGTGAAACATCTAAAGGCTTTATTGCTCAGTGACGTGTTTTCCGAGCAGATAAGTGTTGGCGTTAGTGACCAAGGTTGAACTTTGCTCCTTGTGTCAGTTTGAGTCCCACCTGCTGGTCCAGGAAATGCAGCTCTGATCAACAGCACAGTCCACAGCAGCCGCCACCGAGTAAGTACATCAAAAATACAGATGATTATCCCCTTCAATACGCTATTTTCTATTGTTTTTAATTAACTAATACATGAAAGAAAACATTGAATGGTAAAGTTGTAATACAATATTATATATTCTACAGTAACAGGATGTTACAAAGATTGTACTGGTACAATGATATAGTGACACTGCTTTGGAAAGTTAAAGATGCTTTTATTGAATAGAAAAATAATTGTATCCTTTTTGAAGCGATTAAATTATTTTTCCCTGTTTGTCTACAGTCAGATGGTTTTCTCCTTTAAATTTCTTTTTTCCTACCAGGTTCAATTATATATATATATGTTTGACTTGTAGAGACTTTCTTAATCATGTAAAATCAGCTTAGAAAAAAAAAAAAAAAAATTTTTTTTAGAGGTATGTGGGTATGTTAAGGTTTAAATTGTTTTTGGTTTTATTTCTGATTTCTCTACAGATCTGTAATTGAAACATGTGCTTATGTTACCCTTCAGAGTGAAAGCACTGAAATGATTGCTTCCTGGAAATTATGGTTTGGCCTTGTGTTCATTTGTTCACTACAATGCAGAGGTTAGTGTATTTATTATATTTTATTTCTAAATGTATGCACTGTGTGGCTGTTTGGTGAGTCTGAGTTTACACACTGTATAAAACGAGGGACAGATACAAGAAGAAAGAGAAGGATGTTAGCAGGTTACATGTTAATATTTTTAACAGGCATTCACTCGGATCATTAAGGCTTTTCTACAGTAGAATCTGAATATTATTGATCCCATTTATGATTGAATGACATTAAAGTTACATATTGAAAAAAATAATGTAAAACATGAATTTGAAAGCAGAGGTGTTTTTTTTTCTGCTTTAACAAGCAAAGATGGCCCCTATCAGCTACAATCCAGAAATTAGCTGCAACCAAGCCTAATGGAAGCAAGTCAGCATCTAAAAACATTTGATCAGAGCATGCAGACCTACATTAACATGTTGTTTGGTTGCATTCTGGGACCAGCAAGATAGGGTGAAAGATGATTGATTTAGATTCTAAACTGCTAGGTCTTACAGTATTTAAAGCTAATAATGGGAGAGCTAGCATCAAACATCATTTGATTAATTGATTGACTGATTGACTTTATTAATCTCACAGTGGAGAAATTTTCACGTTAGCTCGACTCAATAATCAAAAAGAAGAATGAGGTGCCAAAAGAGGTGCATGGAGGGTATATACAGTATATATATTGCACTGATATCCAGTGCAATATATATATATATATATATATATATATATATATATATATATATATATACACTATATTGCCAAAAGTATTTGCTCACCTGCCTTGACTCACATATGAGCTTAAGTGACATCCCGTTCCTAATCCATAGGGTTCAATATGACGTCGGTCCACCCTTTGCAGCTAGAACAGCTTCAACTCTTCTGGGAAGGCTGTCCACAAGGTTTAGGAGTGTGTTTATGGGAATTTTTGACCATTCTTCCAGAAGCGCATTTGTGAGGTCGCACACTGATGTTGGACGAGAAGGCCTGGCTCTCAGTCTCCGCTCTAATTCATCCCAAAGGTGTTCTATCGGGTTGAGGTCAGGACTCTGTGCAGGCCAGTCAAGTTCATCCACACCAGACTCTGTCATCCATGTCTTTATGGACCTTGCTTTGTGCACTGGTGCACAGTCATGTTGGAAGAGGAAGGGGCCAGCTCCAAACTGTTCCCACAAAGTTGGGAGCATGGAATTGTCCAAAATGTCTTGGTATGCTGAAGCATTCAGAGTTCCTTTCACTGGAACTAAGGGGCCAAGCCCAGCTCCTGAAAAACAACCCCACACCATAATCCCCCCTCCAACAAACTTTACACTTGGCACAATGCAGTCAGACAAGTACCGTTCTCCTGGCAACCGCCAAACCCAGACCCGTCCATCAGATTGCCAGATGGAGAAGCGCGATTCGTCACTCCAGAGAACGCGTCTCCACTGCTCTAGAGTCCAGTGGCGGCGTGCTTTACACCACCGCATCCGACGCTTTGCATTGCACTTGGTGATGTATGGCTTGGATGCAGCTGCTCGACCATGGAAACCCATTCCATGAAGCTCTCTGCGCACTGTTCTTGAGCTAATCTGAAGGCCACATGAAGTTTGGAGGTCTGTAGTGATTGACTCTGCAGAAAGTTGGCGACCTCTTCGCACTATGCGCGTCAGCATCCGCTGACCCCGCTCCGTCAGTTTACGTGGCCTACCACTTCGTGGCTGAGTTGCTGTCGTTCCCAAACACTTCCATTTTCTTATAATACAGCTGACAGTTGACTGTGGAATATTTAGGAGCGAGGAAATTTCACGACTGGATTTGTTGCACAGGTGGCATCCTATCACAGTTCCACGCTGGAATTCACTGAGCTCCTGAGAGCGACCCATTCTTTCACAAATGTTTGTAAAAACAGTCTGCGTGCCTAGGTGCTTGAATTTATACACCTGTGGCCATGGAAGTGATTGGAACACCTGATTCCAATAATTTGGATGGGTGAGCAAATACTTTTGGCAATATAGTGTATATATATATTGCACTGGATATCAAATATAGAAACAGGTTATTGAACGGGGTATTACATAGTAATTGCACATTAGATGTTGCACAAGTTATTAGATTTGTAGCGCTTCATTTTGATTATGAACATCTATTTTCCAAATATAACATTACTTTGCCTATGTAACCTGAGGGGAGTGGTTCAGACATCTAATTATTGCATAAACTAATGCAGTTATGTAAATAATCAGATAAATGGACTTACAAAAGTTAATATTCATATGATATTAATCAAACTACTTAGGTTTGTCAATTTGACATAAATGTAGGGCATGTGAAGGATTGTTTTTAGGATTTCCTTGTGTTTGAGTTTCAGTCTATTCAGACGCCAACAAAGCAAAGCGCTTTTTAAAATATTCACGCACTCTGAGCAAACATGAACACTTTTCAAACACCAGAGTAAACATAACAGGCAGGCTGTGCTTCGTTTCAACGTTTTCTCCTGATTCCATTCTTTGGTCTAAAATTATAATCTTCATTAAGCTTAATTTGATACATATATAAGTGGATCTGTTCGTTGATCATCTCTGATAAAAAAAAAAAAAATAAAAAATTGAGAGGATTACATTTTTTTCCTCCACTTTTTAGGAATAAAGTTAATCGAGGCAAAATACTCCTAGATTAAATCATTTTTTGTTAACTTTAGATTACCCATCTCAATAAATAGGACAAAATATTTATATAACTGTGTTTAAGGTCAGAATGAAAATCTATTTATTGGAGGTTTATATTAGAGAAAATTAACAAAGGATAATTCAATTGTTCTCTTTATTGACTTCTTTGAGCGAAACATGAGAGTTTTGTCCTGTTTACAAATAAAGAGTCCATAAAACACCATTATGTATAGATCGATTATAACATAAAGGCTCTTGTCTTATTTTATAAATTCTCTGTTTTCTTTCCAGTGGAAACTCAGAAACTCCAGGTCGAACCTCTGGACTTGGCAGCTTTGAGAGGTTCTGATGTCCAGTTTATCGCCAACGTTGAGGGAAGCTGGGACGTCATGACCTGGAAAGTTGGAAAGCTTCTAGTACTGACCATAGCCGACGACATAATCGGATCTGGGAGATTCAATGCTAGTTTCTGCTATAATGACTCAAGACGTTGCGTGGAGTTCAAGATCTACAATGTCAGCCATGAAGATAGTGGAGCAGTTGAGTGTGAACTACAAAGTCATGGATCCCTGACAGCCCAGCTCTCTGTACAAGGTGGAGTCAATGCATCTCCTCTTTTCACACTGGTATCTTTTTATACAAATAAGAATTTGTGAATGTGGCTTTAAAAAGATTATAGTTCCCATATTATACAGTAATAAGTCAATTTTAAATATGGGAAGCTTGTTAACCAAACTTAATTTTAAAAATAGTTAAATCCTGGGTCAAATAGGACAAAATATTGTTATATTGATGCTGGTCCAGTTATGTCTAATATCTGTTTTAAAGCAACAGTCAATAGTTGTGAAATTTTTTTAAAGGGCAGAAGGAGGTTTGGTTTTACTGATATTTGGCTATAAATTACTAACACTGATTGGGGAAAAAAAGTGGAAAACTTCATAATGTTTTGTGGCCATCAAAATGTTTCAGTGTTATTTTATGGGTCAAATAGTTGATTAAAAACATTTGGCACAATTTGGAGAGATTTGGAGACACTGGTGACATCAAAAGTTCAAAGCCCAACAGCTCTGGAACTGTTATGGCTAGAGGTCTGAAATTTTCTGCATTTGTGGTTGAAATTATGTAGAACAAATATAATACATGAGACATTCCTATTCTAAAGCATGTCTTTATTACTGCTGTTCAAAAAAGACCTATTATTTTTGAGAATAAAATAAACAACTTTTATCTTTGAACTGATGCAGCTTGAGATGTATTTTACTCACCTAATATTATATATAGTTATAGTTATGTATATATTCAGAAACTAGAATGTGTTAGCTTTCAAATAATGTATCAAACATGTAATTTGGGCTTACAGTTCCTAAGTTATTTGCTTTTCCATTTGGGAATGCAAAGAGGATTACTTCAAAATGAGGGGGATGTTAAGAGTCTAAGAATAATACTCAAATATAATTTGGAAGGAATCTGAAAGCTATCCTTCAATATTTACCACAAAATTTTGTTATAAACAACAAGGAAGGGTTTACCTTTTTTTCTTTTACATTATACTTAATGATAATTTTCTTCTTTTTATCAGAGAGTGGAACAGTCAGCATCTCTGGTGGGAATGTGACGGTGGCGCAGGGTCAGCAGGTGACGTTCGAGTGTGTCACTGCGGGTTGGATTCCCGCACCAAACATCACCTGGACCCAAAATGATGAGACTGTGATCAGCAGCCTGTATAACTCCACCATTATAGCTGATGGAGATAAATTCAACTCCATCAGTGTGCTCAACCTAACGGCAGTCAGGAACACTAAAGTGGAATGTCTGGCCAACATTGCAGCGCTAAAAGCTCCAAAATCCAGCCCTGTGTTTGTGACGGTTGGTAAGTTTTAAACTACTGGGCTATGCTTGTTTTATGTCTTCACCAATTTGGTTTGAAATAAATGGAAGATGAGAACCAAGAAATATTTAGAAAATAGTAAAAAAAAAACAATTAAAACTTTCAAGTAGGCACCTCTGCTTTTCTAAATTAAATAGAAAGTAACAGGCAATATTATAAAGGGCCACAAACATTTTTAACCCCTTATAGGGCACTTATTGAAAAACTTTGAAAATCAACATTTCAAGCTAAGAGTATTATTGGAGGAAGGACAAGAATTAAAAAATATGCATATTTTGATGGCAAGAATTAAGATCAATGTAATAAAAAGAAAATGTCAGTTGCCCTAATATGTTAAAAAGTATGAGAGAAGTGTTTTCAATAAGAGATTATTGAAAAGCACTGACAGAGTGAAAGAAACACATTTTTTTGTTACAACATAACTTTAGAGCAGGGGTCTTCAACGTTTTCCAGGCCAAGGTCCCCCAAACTGATGGTAATATGGAGCGGTGACCCCCCTAATTTTATATAATTTATCAATGAAATTGTGTTATATCAAAATGGTCCTATAGTCACTCTATTACAGATGAAGTAATGCAACGAAAGAAATTTCACCCTGAGATTATTAAAGTATTTCTGATTCGGAATCCTGGTTGATGGGACAGGTGTTGTGAATGAAACGGTGCCCAGCTTGAAAGAGCTCCTGTGTGTCGCTGAATGTGAGCATTGATGACTGAAAGACATCTTCTGCCTCCATTTATCTGTTTACTACAGTGTGTTGAATTCATGTAAATGTGGATTTAAAGACATTTCCATTAGTGGAAAATATTGCACGGTGGAATATATATATATATAAAAAAAAAGTCTAATCAAGCAAAACTTTCTCGACCCCCAAGCAGTACCTCCGAGGACCCCCTAGGGGTCGCGGACCCCCTGTTGAAGCCCTCCGCTTTAGAGCATTAATGCTGATACAGGTTTTAATTTTTTTTTACTTTTTAACTTAATTTACAGCAGGTAACATATGTATGGAAGTGAAAAAAAACAGTAAAATTTGGAAAAAATAAGGATTCCTCTTGCTTTTTCCTTTTTCCTAACATGCAATCCTGTTTAATGATTTAATTAATTGTGCACAGTTCATAATAATGGACAGTCAGCTTGACAATATTATTTATCATATTTAATAAATTCCTAATATCTGAAGTAAGATTAGTTCTTGCTGTAAGCAGCTAATCCTTTAAACAAAAGCAATTTAAAAGTGAAAAAAATGAAAAATCCAATAATGGATAATTTCTTGAAAGGAAATCTATCAGATACGATTTTATGAGTTTAATTCTGTTAAAAAAGTTATGGAATTTTAAAAAGAATTTAATTTAACTATCTTTGCTTCTTGTTGGACATAAACTTTCCATTTGAAATACGTTGCTAAATTAGATAGCGACTGCGAAGGTTCCTATGTGTCAGCTGTGTGTTGCCTAGCTGACAGGTTCTAATGCAATAGCATCACTATAACTATATAGATCCACTTAACATGTGCAGCAATTGCATTTCCAGCAATAAGCCATGGTGTCTGTTTTCAGGTAAGCCATGCATAGAAATAATAACCATCACATGTTCAGGGAACAGACATTAGGATCATGTCTACAGATGTTTTGGACCTTCCTTCATGTATAGATGACTATAAGAAAAATAAAGAGGAAAGTTCTGAGCACTGATTTTGGAGAAACTTTTATCCTATTAGGACAAAGAAAGTACTGATTATTTCAAAGATAACTGCAGATATGATCGGAAGAACATCATCTTTCTTGATTCTTGTACAGACAAAGGAATTAGAAACTCTTTAACTTTGCACCACAAGATGCTTGTTAGATCTTCATCCAAAATAACTGCTGCAATGTAAGAAAATAACTTCAATTGGTCACATCTCGTAAAACAAAAGTCATGTTTTTTGGAAGCTTCTCCAGAAAAAACACTTTTGTTGGAATCATTGAGATAATTTCCTGCACTTGTTACATTGTTACTCCTTCATAGGTTACAGGAGATGTGATAATTTGGGCTTTGATATTTCTAAAACCGTCCCAGTCCAGCGTCTTAGGCTTTTCTGGATGATATATGTTCTGATCCAAATCAACATGGACGTCATTTAAGCAGTTAAAACTGAGCTTCCATTATGGAAGATCATCCTCAGTCCTAAATACTACTGTATATCTGTTTTATCTGTTGGAGAAAAAATATCACAAAGGAGAACCCAGAACTCTGGATTACAGTTATTTACAGTATGGATCTCAATAATTGTGGAACCAGAGATTTAGTGTAGTTTAAAGACTTTTTTGAAATTATTTAATTCCGTAACATTGTAACATTATTTTATCCTTTAAAGGAGAAGTCCAGTCAGCAAGGAATAATCAACGGATCATTATTTATACCTAAAATTAATACGTTCGATTAGCCTAGTAAACTCTTCCCACCCGCCAGCGGCCAAAATCATTTTTGCCTGCAAGTTGGTCTAGTCTCGATCAATGCCCCAGGCGCTAGAACTGGCGGGCCAATCAGAACGCAGAGATGTGTTTTGAATTTCTGGATTCAAAGCGGGCGGGGTTTTGAGGTCTTGACGACAAAGCTGCATGACGCTGGAAAAAGCACAACAAGGAAGATGGCAACAACTATTGAACAGTTCTCATTTGACTCAGCTTTGGAATCAGTTTTGGAAGGATTAGACTTGGGGTTTTCGTTGAAACGTGAGCAGGAAGAGGCTCTACGCTCATTCATTTTTCAGAAGGACATATTCATCGTTTTACCGACAGGCTCCCCCACCAGCTTTCTGTCGCATTTACTATGTCACAGTCAGTTGCTCTCATTGGTCAGAGCGTTGGCCAATAGGAACAAACATGGTTTGAAAGACAACAGGTTTTTCTCATCAATAATCTTCCAATGTCTCATTCATCGGGGCCAGACTAAATTACACATTTAATCTCACATTTAGTCTGGTTTATCAGGGCTATTGTTCGAGGTAATTTAATGAATTTAGCATTAATCATTAAAAAGATAAAAATAATAATTTTCATCTCGATAACTGAGTCTGGGAGCGGACATCTTCCAGCAGTGACGTCACGGTGCAGTAAGCCTAGCGCCATTCTCGCCGCTTTACAAGCAGAATCAATGGGAACTACTAGACACATCTGCAAACATCAACAATTACTGAAGATTTCCAGAGGACTTCACCATTGAAATTCACCAGAGCTAGTTAAACTGACAATGCCCACGTTCACAGCAGTTGGATGTTGGAATACATTGGGTAAAAGTGAAAAAAAAATTGTTATTTCACCTTTTCAACTCATGATCCACCATGGACGGGTTCGTCGTCGGAGCAGGGGCGGATTTAGGAAATTTGGGGCCCTAGACAAATACAGGCAAGGGGCCCTGTGAATTGAGAAGACAACTCATAATACAGACTCATTATAGAGATACAGAAATTTTAATAGAATGCACAAAAATTATTTACTAAATTTTGATTTATATTATGTCTATGGAAAAATAACAATTCAAGATTTCTTTAATCACATTTTGGAAGGTCAAAATGCATTTTGAGATATTTTTCATTTAAAGTGTCACACATTATAATCAAGACATTTCAGTTCATTTGAAATAGTCAAAACTATATATTTTTAATCTCTGAATTATGAAATATCCCCCATGTGCCACTGAGCTGTCCTAACATTTGCCTGCTGAATTTTGCATGGCTTCAATGGTGCTGCCTCTTCTTGACAAAGTTGTTTCAAAATGCCACAATATAGAAAGAACTCAGCACTATGGGATCTGCAGAGAACAACTACTTTGTGAACTCTAAGACTGTTTCAGAAATCTGTCATGAATTCCTGCGTGGACTTTAGTTAGAAGTTGGATATTCAAGCTCGCTGAGTTAGCAGCACCTATCTCACCGTCGATCCGATTCAGGAGCTCAGACTCGGGCCGGCCGTTCTCTGTTGCTCCCTCTGCTTACGAGCCGTTGTTCTTTTAGGGACCATCATCAGATTTCCGGACCTTTGAGAAATAAAAATAAATAAATCCCTTGTCTCATGACTGACTGAAACAATGGGTAAATCTTGCTACTTGATTAGATAAATATGGCACACCCATTTTAATTTAATTATAATTTATTTTCATATTTTTAAAGAATTTCTTTGGTCAAAATTTTGAATTTTTCTTCAATAGCCTCTCTTCTCTGCTCCTCTCGTCTCTTCGCCAGTGTTGCCAACTCCCCCGTAAGAAAGGCCACTATTGGCTGTCCTAAAAGGCGCTATAAGGAGCAAGATAGCTTCATCACCCAGTTTGCATATTTCATATCATCCAGCTGTAGGAGATTCAGAATATTTTTTTTTTTTTTTGGGGTGGGGGTCTTTCAAAACAGTGCAGAAAGATAGCTGGAATGGAAACCTTGTGGGAATTTTTTTTTGTATTGAGTATTGGCTTTTATAGAAAGAAGCAAGCAAATTAAATACATGCTGATCCAATGTGGACACTGAATGGGGGCCCTGAGACACACTTAATATTATAAGCATTCTAATAGCATTTTAACGAAAGGATTTTTATCAAAAAATGATTAATGTACACAAATCAGTAAAAGCTGTATTAAACTTAAATGTAAGTTTTATTGGACCCCAAGGAACTTGGGGCCCTAGGCAACTCCCCAGTTTTGCCTAATGGAAAGTCAGCCCCTGCGTTGGATTGCCAGCTTGAAGAGGGAGGATTTGCCATCGAACTTCTGGCCAGAGAAAAAACACGTAATATGTAGCCAACATTTGGAAGAATAATGTTTTCAAGATGACTTGGATAATAGCGCGTTGTGACAAACACCAGATACAGCACTGGGACTTTCTCAACAGCCGATACCGCACCGTCACAAACCAGTAGGTGGCAGTAGTGTTCTTGCACAAACATGGATGCCTCCAGTAAAGCACATTCAAATGAAAATTACTCTTAATTTAAAAAATTAACATTTAATAAACAGTATATAATACTTTCAAATTTAAAGTAGTTTCAGAAGTTTGAATTCTGAATGTGACCAGACTTTTCCTTTAAATAACTGTTAGTTTTAGTTTGCTTTTTTTGGACACAATATATCTTATTAGTGTACTGCATTAATTTTATTTCAAGGCTGCTTACAGTTTTTATTAAAGGGTGACAGAAAGCTGGAGGAAAACGAAATGGTGTCACAGATTTCTATTGAAATCAATTTTACTATTTAAACATAAGAGAATTTATCATAAAGAGGCGACATCTGTGTCTTTATATGGTCGATTCTTTATTTTTTGAAAAGGTCATGTTTTCAAAGGGGGATTAAAAAGTGCATCATGCTGACTTTTTTTTAGCAAAATAGTGGCGAGTAAGAAGGTTCTTGGTTCAATTCCCGGCCTAGGGTCTTTCTGCATGGATTTTGCATGTTCTCCCTAAGCATGTGTGGGTTCTCTCCGGGTACTCAGTCCAAAAACATGACTGTTAGGTTAATTGGTTTCTTTAAATTGTGAATTCTAAGTGTGTGAATGTCTATGTGTTGCCCTGCCCTGTGATGGACTGGCGACCTGTCCAGGGTGTACCCTGCCTCTCGCCCATAGACAGCTGGAGTTAGCAAACTGGCACCCCTTGGTATAAGTGTGACAGAAGATGGATGGATTTGGACTGCATCTGCCAACATGTCCCCTTACTGGCATCCTATGAGGTTGCTGATGTGTTGCTAAAAGTGCTGATTGGGTTTTCTCCTACGCTGGTGAGGAGTGATGAGACACCGACAACTTATAAATCAGCTTGAAGAGCACTAGGGGGAGACAATCACCAACTTTGTTGGGAACAAGAACCTTAAGCCCCTTTTCCGCTGGCTCTACTTTCATCAGCAATTTGCAAACATTTCAATTGTTGCTTTTTCAGAGATAAGTATGGCAAAAAGTTTGTGAGATGGATTAAAGCTGGGCGAAGTAGATCCAATGGAAATGAGACATTGGTAAAGACATGAACGGGATGCTTGGAGGGAAAGAAGATTCAAATGAAAACAAACCTTTTCTTTAATTTCTCTGACTGTTCTCTGTGTGGGCATCAGTTTGCAACAGTTCATATACATAATTTGTTGTAACGTCTATGGTCTGTTCCTGTATATGTCGATGGTCATCTCTTCTGCAGCACATCCGAATGCTGAGCTAGTTTACAGCCTTTCATAACTTTCAAAAGTTTTATGCAAACAGCAGCGTTTCCTCTTTGCCTCTCTGTTCCCCCAGATGTGGAAATGGTGTATATACACTGTGGTGTAGCTGTGCCACAGCTTCTGCCAACCATCCTGTTACACCTGCAGCGTGTGTAGAGCAGAGCGACTCTGCACTACAGCACAAATTGGAGACCTAGGTTCTGTTAAACCTGTTTTACCTAAATTGAAAAACATTTACTGCGTTTTGCACCATTACTATTTTGCAATGCTGAAACTGAACTTTTCAAATGAATGTCTTTTTTGCACCATTATTTTTGCACTATAAACATGGTTGAACATTCTTTTGCACACTTAAAAAAATGATATATTTTTCTCCTCGCACCGTTACATTCAATTGCATTCCTATTATATTGTTGTAAGCTGTATACAATAAAATTTCATTAAATTACAATGAAATAAAGTTTTTCTAATTCTCCAAAAACAATGAAAAAACTGAATAAAAGATGGAATAAACTTATGCAGAATTTTCATTTTTCTCTTTTAACAGATGTTTACAGTTGAAAATTTACTGAAATGTAAGCGTTTATTGCTTTTATTACTGGAGGAGTTCCATCTTTTGTGGTGGTTAACATAACCATTAAATCTGAAAATGCTTTGATTGACAATGCTTTGAAGTTCTAAAAGTAGAATGGGAGGCAGATCTTTTTGTTATCAGGCTCCTCTCCTGTGGCTCCAACTACCAGTTTTAGTCTGTGAGGCTTAAGCTTAGGCTAGGCTTAAAAATTTCCTTTTTGATTAAGCTTATAGTTAGAGTGGCTCAGGTTATCCTGAGCTTTCTCTATAGTTATGCTGCTATAGGCGTAGACTGGTCTGCCTGGCTGTGTGTTTCCTGGATGGTGCCGGCTTTTACATCTGCTTTCTCTGTTTCTTCTTCTGTCTCCTTGAACCCCAGTCGGCCTCAGCAGATGGCCGCTCACACTGAGCCTGGTTCTGCTGGAGGTTTCTTCCTGTTAAAAGGGAGTTTTTCCTCTCCACTGTCACTACAAGCATGCTTAGTGTGAGGGATTGCATTCGAGTCAATGAGTCGATGCAATCAACTGGTTTTCCTTAAATCAATTTGGCTGGATGATCTGGTGAACTGTAAAGTGCCTTGAAATGACATAATAATAATTCAATTTATTGTCATTACACTGTAAGAAGTACAGGGCAACAAAATGAATTCTCTGCATTTAACCCATCCCCTAGGGGAGCAGTGTGTGGTTAAGGGTCTTGTTCAGGGACCCAGAGTGGCAGTCTGTGGGAATGGATCAAACTCACAACCTCAGGATTCAAAGCCCTATGCCCTAACCACTAGGCCACCACTCACCCCGTGTTGTCAATGTGTTGGGACATGTGTTGTGAATTGGTGCTGTATATATAATTGAATTTCTTCCCTCTACAGTTCCCAAACCTGCAGACTGGACAGTGCTGATAGCTGTAGTTGTGTCATTTGGAAGTTGTGCTTTGTTGGTTTTACTCATACTGGGAATCTACCACTGCTACAAACAAAGGAAAGAAAAAGGTAAGAAATACACATAAAAGAAATAATGCACTTTTTACATCTTTGCTCTAAATAATATGTTATTTATGCTCCATTCTAGAATCAAATTACCAAGATGAGATGAGGTAAGAAAATGCATGTTTTATTTTACAGGTAGTTAAAGTACTCATGATTAAAAGGATTTATTGTTTGTTGTCTTGTGTAACAGGAGAGTAAAAACACAGAGCCAGTTAAGTGTTATCAGTGCAGATGAACAGACATCAGGTCAGGTGAATGAAACCTACGAGCCGGACAATCAGGATATTAACATCCACGTTGGTGCTGAGCCAGGATTTGTGAAACACAGACATGTCACCATTGTTTGATGACACACCGAGGAAGGAGAGCTCTACAGAGGACTGAAGGAAGTTTATCAGCACCTTAAACATTTCCTGCTATTTTGTAAACAGTTTGGAGAAGATGGAGAAAAGACTGTCATAGAGACAGTTAGCATCTTTTTAAATCAATGTTTTTTTTAAGTTATTATCTTTTGTTAAAAAAAATCAAGGAAGTTCTGGTAGAAGGTCAACAGCCAGCAAGATGAAAACCCTGTAAACGGTAAAAATACTTCAACGCCTGTTTAAAAAATACAGATGCTTCATATCTGTTCCTACAGCACTGTTTTCCAGCAATGTAAACATTTAGCTTTAAGCTGTGAACTGCTAAAACCAAGTTCTGTGTGTTTTTTTCTGTAATGTGTGTGCAAATATCTTAAAAAAAGAAAAAAATATTTGATGTGTAATGTTCTGTGTTCTGATTTTATATTCAACAGAGATTAAATAGTTTTCTTTTTTACATACCAGCAATTTATATTTGAACAAATGTTGCTTTTATTTAAATGAATATTGCAAGTATCTGCTTATGTAACAATATTGTGTTTGAATTTTTTTATACACATTTACACTTAACAAAAATATAAATGCAAAACTTTTGGTTTTGCTCCCATTTTTTATGAGATGAACAAAAAGATCTAAAACTTTTTCCACATACATAATATTACCATTTCCCTCAAATAGTGTTCAGAAACCAGTCTAATTATGTGAAAATGAGCACTTCTCCTTTGCTGAGATAATCCCATCCCACCTCACCGGTGTGCCATATCAGGATGCTGATTAGACACCATGATTAGTGCACCATTGTGCCTTGGACTGCCCACAATAAAAGGCCATGGTCTGTATTTATTTGTTGAGTGTACCATAGCTAAAAACTCCCTGAACAAAGAATAAAAACTTTTGGCTTTCTAGAAGACAAACTTTCTCTCTTTTTTATGGCCTCAACATAATTGTTATATGAATGTTGTGAGAGAAACAGAAATGAACTGAGGAAAAGTTCCTGTAATGTTGACTTAATTGCTTTAATTGCGATGTAAATATACTTGGGTTTCTATATATATATATATATATATATATATATATATATATATATATATATATATATATATATATATATATATATATATATATATATATATATATATATATATATATATATATATATGTTGAAATATGTTGTTTTGCACATTTGCACAAAGTTCCTTATAGAAGGTTGTTTGTCTTTATTTTAAAAAAGGCTAAAGAATAAAATAATATTTCTTAAGGATCACAATTAAAATAGACTCAGCTGGACTTTAAAAGAAATGTTTGACGTTTAGACCATTATTCATTAACATGAAAGTGTTTATCTGCAGTTCTGCTGTAATTTGCTCTATATAGTATACTTAATACATCCTGTTATTCCATTCAGAGACTGTGAGAAGGCTGCAGTTTTAGCCAGGAAACCTTTTTCCTGTTCCTTTAACAATTACAAGTGGAATCTTTTGTAGAATTAGTTTACTAGTAGTTTACTAGGCTAATCTCCTCCTGGTATTTGTTCTTACATCTTTCTTTCATTCACAGTACTCAAATTTGACGGTCATTTTGAGTACTGACATCAGTTTGCTTTATGATTCCCAATCATTCCGAGTTCTGTCTGACAGGAACCAATTGTAGGGATAGATGACAAAGAAAAATTTCTACCACAATATTCTTGTAAGTTGTAAATTGGTCTCGAATAGAAAGGTTTTCTTTTAAAAAGGGGGACAACCCTGCAGGGGTGCCGCCATGGGGGCCCTATGAAAGACATTGATATTGGGTCCCCCCAAAAAATGTATCAAAGCTTTAGTGCAATAAAATATTTTTTAACATTAAGGAATTCAGCTTTTTTTTTTTTTTTTACAAAAATGATGTAATTATGTTATATATTTGTTTAATTTCTTCTCATTTTTAAAACAGAATAAAGAGCAATTAGTTATTCCTTTTCGCTTTTTTCATCTCAAGTTTTTACCCAGTTATTTTGCACATTTATCTCTCTGGTTCCACGGTGACCACATCAGGATAAGACCAGCTAGAGATGCAGCAGATGATTGGCTGCAGAGCTGATCATTAAACAGTAAGGCTCTGCTCATTGGATTGCTGCCACTGTGCTATGGGGCTGCAGGGGGCTCTGCAGACTATAAAAGTATCCAGACACAGATGGAAGCACAGAGCGAAGTTACTGCTGCACAGTGCTGGTTGGTGCTCATCACACACAGCTGGAGACCTCACACAGAGACACAGCGCAGCCATGAGTGAGGTAAGGGCCGTTTATTGAGCTACTAAGCTTCTATTCAGACTCTAAACATCAGGACATCTTTTCTGTTTTATTAGGCATTCTCTGAAGTTTGCTTGGACTTTTGCTCTAGACAACTGAGCTATTGAAGGCTCAGCTGTTGATACACTATATTGCCAAAAGTATTTGCTCACCCATCCAAATTATTGGAATCAGGTGTTCCAATCACTTCCATGGCCACAGGTGTATAAATTCAAGCACCTAGGCATGCAGACTGTTTTTACAAACATTTGTGAAAGAATGGGTCGCTCTCAGGAGCTCAGTGAATTCCAGCGTGGAACTGTGATAGGATGCCACCTGTGCAACAAATCCAGTCGTGAAATTTCCTCGCTCCTAAATATTCCACGGTCAACTGTCAGCTGTATTATAAGAAAATGGAAGTGTTTGGGAACGACAGCAACTCAGCCACGAAGTGGTAGGCCACGTAAACTGACGGAGCGGGGTCAGCGGATGCTGACGCGCATAGTGCGAAGAGGTCGCCAACTTTCTGCAGAGTCAATCACTACAGACCTCCAAACTTCATGTGGCCTTCAGATTAGCTCAAGAACAGTGCGCAGAGAGCTTCATGGAATGGGTTTCCATGGTCGAGCAGCTGCATCCAAGCCATACATCACCAAGTGCAATGCAAAGCGTCGGATGCGGTGGTGTAAAGCACGCCGCCACTGGACTCTAGAGCAGTGGAGACGCGTTCTCTGGAGTGACGAATCGCGCTTCTCCATCTGGCAATCTGATGGACGGGTCTGGGTTTGGCGGTTGCCAGGAGAACGGTACTTGTCTGACTGCATTGTGCCAAGTGTAAAGTTTGGTGGAGGGGGGATTATGGTGTGAGGTTGTTTTTCAGGAGCTGGGCTTGGCCCCTTAGTTCCAGTGAAAGGAACTCTGAATGCTTCAGCATACCAAGACATTTTGGACAATTCCATGCTCCCAACTTTGTGGGAACAGTTTGGAGCTGGCCCCTTCCTCTTCCAACATGACTGTGCACCAGTGCACAAAGCAAGGTCCATAAAGACATGGATGACAGAGTCTGGTGTGGATGAACTTGACTGGCCTGCACAGAGTCCTGACCTCAACCCGATAGAACACCTTTGGGATGAATTAGAGCGGAGACTGAGAGCCAGTTTTCGTCCAACATCAGTGTGCGACCTCACAAATGCGCTTCTGGAAGAATGGTCAAAAATTCCCATAAACACACTCCTAAACCTTGTGGACAGCCTTCCCAGAAGAGTTGAAGCTGTTCTAGCTGCAAAGGGTGGACCGACGTCATATTGAACCCTATGGATTAGGAACGGGATGTCACTTAAGCTCATATGTGAGTCAAGGCAGGTGAGCAAATACTTTTGGCAATATAGTGTATTTTCTACTTAAAACTGATTAATTTTATTGATTAAATTACATTAGAGTTGACAGGTTCTAGATTTTCTCATTTAGTTTTTTTAAAATGTATTCCTGAGCAACTTTTTCTTTGAAATTATGAAAAAATGAATTGCAGCAAAAAAGATAACATTTATTGCAACATATTATGACTGTTAGAAACTTCTCATGGTTTGTTCCTCCTGAGGACAAAAAGGAGGAAAGAGAGCTTGAGGAAGCTGATGTAATAGTAATCAAGCTGTTCTTACAAACACAGACTAATACAGCAAGAGTTTGTCATTACCTCATTTGCATGAAATAGACCACAAAAAACATGTACATCACCCAAACAAACCAAAGAACAGTCTCTAGATGTTGTTTTCTCACTGAGCTTTCAGTTCCTTACATTAATCATGTGAAGAATGTCATTATCTTTATGTGTGCGTGTGTGTGGGTCTGTGTGTGTGTGTGTCTTGTTTTGCCAATATAGCCCTGAGAATCGATGTCCCAAAGCTATTTCATAGCCTGATAGATTTGCTTTCCAGGCAGATAATTTAACTTGGTACTTGTATATGATACTTTATCGAGATTATTTAGGTATTAAAATCATATACAATGGACAGCGAGACAGAAAGAGAGGTGAGAAAGAAAGAAGGGATAAGAAAGATAGAGACATGAAAGAGGAGAGCACATAAAAAGAGAAAAAATCAATCAAAGAAACAAAAATAAGCAGTTACAAAGCTCCTTCAGCAGAAAAATATGCTCAATAGCAGGTGTGGGCGGCCCCAAACTTGCCCTACAGGGCCCAGGACCACTAAAGAGACAACCCGAGCCCCAGATATCCAAAGGCACCCCAGATCACTAGGACAGAAGGAGGGCAGACATAGGGAGGCCAACAGGGCAGAGTACCCAGAGAGTACCCAGGAATCAACACCTAAGGGGCTTAACCCCAGAGGCCATAGTGCTGAGGTGCCCAGTGGCCGGGGCAGCAAACCCATTCTTACATTCGTCATACATACATTATCCTCCCAGGTCTAGGGGCCACTTTCCATAGGGGAAACAGGCAAAGATGGCTATCAAAGGCCGGAGAGCCAAAGGAGAGCCAGAAACCCCAGGAAAGCCATGACCAACCCCAAGTGCCTGTCCCCATCCTCAGGCAGAGCGGAGAGAGCAGAGATGTGATGTGAAAGATCCCATTCTAGCCCATCTCCTGCTCGCATGGTTGTTGCCTGTTGAACTACTGTGTATTTAAATCCAGGTGAAGGGTAGGTGAACTTTGTATAGGGTCTTGTTTTCCTTTCCTTTGGTCATTTAAATATTAAATATTTTTGATGTTTTTCTTTTCTCAGTATAACAGCTTTTATGGACTGTTTGAGTTAGAACAAACCCTCTGGCCTTCTGGTTGGAGGGATTTTGGTCGCATCTTGTAAAGATTCAATTAAATTCAGTTTATTTATATAGCGCCAATTCACAACACATGTCATCTCTAAGAATAAAATAGTTGACATTAATAGGCTTAGTTTTAAATCCAACTTCAAACAGCTCTTTGTCAGAATGGAGGTAGGTCGAAGCTACATCTTTCATAATAAACCATATTTCAGCATGACTAGCGTGACATTTTAAAATTAATCCAGTTTGATGAAGCCAGTTTGATGACTTCTTTACTTGTGTATTATTTAGTAGGAGCAAAAAAACTATCTTTGCACACAAGCTCAGGAGGAAGAGGCGGGCTGATTTGTGATAAAGGGAGGTGAGAAGCCTCCCAAACCCACATCCCTCAGTTACTGAATTATTCAAAATATCTGCCTGAAAAAATAAAAGCCAGAAAAAAAAAAATCTTTCAGAGTGCATTTGTGAGCATAGGTCCCAATAAGACCTTATCACGAATCTCTCACCCTTAGGATCAGCACAGACTGAGAGCAGGAAGATACATATTTTATCTACACCTCCAACAAAGCAGCTCCCTCCTGCAGCAGCTTGTAGTCAAGTGGCACAACATCCAGTACTAGCCTCTACTCATTTTTCATATTGTTCTTACACAGGTACACTAACATTAAAAGTTTGCGATTAACCCTTTATAGAAGACTCAGTAAAATACTTTGAAAATCAAAATTTCAAGCCAACAGTGTTATTAGAATACAGGACAAGAACTTATTACCAAATCTGGATATTTTGATTGTAAAAATGAATGTCAATGTAATAACAAGAAATGGCAACGTGGCCGAAAATATATTAAGAAAAATAGCAAAAGAGCTT